TAGAATGGGGATCATGATAGTGGGGGGAGGAAGCATTTAAGAACTAGAGGAACGTTATGTTTCATCGTTGCTACCCTGAACCCTGACTGGCTCATCTCCTCCCCACAACCCTTCAGTAAGGGGGTGGTGTTCAGTTGCCTACTGATGGGCTTTGAGTCTCCACTCTGCACTCACCCACATTTACAATGATAAGATTTTTTGTTTGATGCTTGATACCTGATCCCTTCAACAGCTCGTGGTCACACAGGCTAGTGTGCTTCTTCCATGTGGGATTTGTTACTTCTGAGCTAGATGGCCACTTGTTTATCTTCAAGACACTATCTTTTGATAGCCAAGCTCCATCAGCTTTCTTCACCACATTTGCTTATGCACACATTTATCTTCAGCAATCGTGTCGGGAAGAGTCAGTTTTAACTCAATGGAAATGCATGTTTATTTCATTTTATTTGAAATAGGAGACCTGATGGTACAATGGTTAAATACTTGCTTGTCAACTGCAAGGTTGCTGCTTCAAATCCGCCAGAGCTCTGTGGGAGAAAGATATGGCGATCTGCTTCTGTGAACCTTACAGCCTTGGAAACCCCAGGGAAGTCACTTGGCATCAATGGATGATGGGCTCTTTCAAAACATAGGTACAGTTATTGAAATGCTCATTGATATCAAACTGACAAGAAAGGATTTATGGTGAATTTCTCTTGCACCAACTTAAAGTATTATAGTTAGGCTTTGTGTCAACTTGACTGGGCCAGGATTCTCAGTGGCTTGGCAGTTAGCACCTAGTACCTCCCCAGGATGTGACCTAACCCCATGCAATCACATCCGTAATAAGATGTTATAAGCAGCCAATCAGTTGAAAGCAGCTTAGAGTGGTAATGTAATACCTATACATAGATCCCAGCCCTGACGCAATCGTTAAGAAAGAAAACTTCCTGTGGGGTGTGGCCAGCTTTCAAAATAAGTGGGCACTGTGGAAAAGCTCATTTGCTTTTTGCTGACGCTGGATCCTACATTGGGAGCCTTGGGAGCAGAATGTGTGAGTTGGGTGCTGATTGCACAGTCAGCAGTTTGACCTCGCCAGCATCTCTGCGGGAGAAAGATGAGGCATTCTCCTCTAGTGATGAATTGTGTCAGAAACTCGCAGGGGCAGTTCTACTCTGTCCTATAGGGTTGCTGAGGCAGCATCAATTAGAAGGCAGTGAGTTTGTTTTATTGGTTGAAATCCTTATCTGGCTCAGGATCCTCTGTTTCTTGGACTTGAGCCAATGATCTGTCAAATTACCTGCTGATCCTGCATGTTGTCAGCAATCTGCTCTCTGACCTGTCAACCTTGCACTCATTCACCTTTGCAATTACACGTCCGTCTTCTTTCTGCCGACCTAGGGTTCGAGGTCCCTGCAGCTGTGCAAGTCAGGAAACGCCTCCAACCTGAACATCTGACCCATGGACTTGGAACTTGCTCATTTCAACCATTATGTGAGCCATTTCATTTATATAAATTCATCTCTCTATACACGTATAAATTTCACTTGTTAGTTTCTACAGAGAACACAGCATAAGACAGTACATGTTGGATAATGTGTTCCCAGAAACTCCTTCCTCTTATGGTTTCATCTTAGAGAGTTTATCACAAGAGAAAAAAATGTATGCGACAGAAAAGGTGCTCATGAAGCAGAAACTACCGTACACTTGGAAGGCTGGCATTGCTGCAGCAGCACACGATGTGACGTGTGTATATCACAGCCTGTCTTCTGGGTGTCATGTTGGTGTAGAATAGCACCTGGATCTATACCTACACAAACTTTCACCAGATGTTTTCCTTCAGTTTTTCTTAGTCCTGTGCCAGGTGAATATGCACTCTACAGAGGAAGGATCAACATCTGCTACTGTTCGGGCATGCCGTCTCAGTTTGATACCATGAGAAACAGGCACATGACAGTGGGTCTTCGTGACTCTATTCATCACCCTTGATTCTGGTTGGTCTGTGCTCTTTCCTGTTTCAAACCCTATAGATTTCCGTTACTGAGAAACTTGATCACCGGATGCGGGCCAACACCCTCTCAGAGAGTTCTCCACCAATTCCTGGAACTGCAACAGTTCTAATTCCCATTAATTAATCTCCAATTTTATGCTGCTTATATTGGTTCTGCTTTATGATTAAGCCTGACACAATTAGCATGCAAAGTATACAAGACTTTATACAAATGAGTAAGAAAAAATCCAACAGGAAAATGGCTAAAGACACAAAGGGGAAGGGAAAAATAAGTTAGAACAGGATGTTCAACCTCATTAGTAATTAAGTACAAATTAAAACATGAGCTACTATTTCATAATATTTAAAATTAGAAAATTTTAGAATATGTAACAACACTAAGTGTGACCCTGTATATGAGACAAGAGTTAATTTGTACACATGGCTGGTAAGTCTGAAAACGATTTAATCACTTGGAGAAAAAATTTTTTTCCAAGTCTTACCGTGGTTTATTAATTGTTGAGCAATACTATTGTCATGTCATTTTTGCCCTCCTTTCCCGATGACCACCTCTGTTTGTATGGTGTAGACTGGTCAGAGTGAGCCACAGAGAGCACTTTTTCACTATATCCCAAGCAACCCCCTTAATAATCTTATAATTTTGAAACATAGAATCAATTATTTGAATGTGCAGTCGTTTTTCTAAATAATCATTTTATTAGGGGCTCATACAACTCATCATAATCCATACATACATCATTTGTACATATTTTGACTTCATCATCCTCACAACACCCAATCTCCACTTGAGCCCTTGGTGTCAGCTCATTTTTCCTCCTCCTTCCCCGCTCGCCCCTCCCCCTGAACCCTTGATAATTTATAAATTATTGTTTTATCATATCTTACCCCATCCAATGTCTCCCTCACCCACTTCTCCACTGTCCGTCCCCCAGGGAGGAGGCCTTATGTAATCCTTGTCATCTGTTTCCCCTTTCTCCCTCACCTTCCTCCACCCTCCCGCTACCACCACTCTCTCCACTGGTCCTGGGGGGCTCATCTGTCCTGGGTTCACTGTATTTCCAGTTCCCATCTGTGCCAGTGCACATCCTCCGGTCCAGCTGGATATGTAAGGTAGAACTGGGATCATGGTAGTGGGCGGGGGGGAGCATTTAAGAACTAGAGGGAAATTGCATATTTCATTGTTGTTACACTGCACTCTGATTTGCTCCTCACTTGGAGAAAATTTTAATAATAATAGTAAAGCTAGAAATGTGGACCTACAGGCAGATCAACACCTAGGAAGCAGCCTTGAGGAACTTTCAACACAGTAAATAAGAGAGAAATGCCAACAATATCATTTGTTTAAAGAACTCTGATATTAATGTTAAATATGTTTAAGCATGATACACAGGATACTTACCTTGAAGTTGGTCATCTAAAGATGGATCAGGTTGTCCTCACTGCCAACAGTGATTGATATTTCTTGTGATCCCCCAGTACCACCCTCCATGTGACTATGCCCTGTTTCCTTGATTTAGCTATGCCACTCAGGAGTAGAAGGAGTAAGTAGTAAGCCACTTGTGAGATTTGGTAATAAAAATATGGTCTCTGTGTTATGTACCATCATCCTCTGAGGAATCTCAGCCATTACTTGGGAGTTTTAAAATGCTCATGGACAAATTCCACTAACTCTTAATTCTAATTTTCCACATCCTTGTATACTGTGAGCAGTCCTCTGAAGACAGGAAAATGACAAAGAATTGATAATCAAGGAGAATTTGAGACCAGGTTATATATACTCAAGTGAGTGAGCTTGAAAATGGTCCCCCTCACTTGTCCTGTGACATTAATGGAGCTCCGGCCTACACTTTGCTTGAGATCCTAAGTAAGGGACATACAGCTCAGCCAAACTTAGATTCTTTACCCAAAGGAACTTTAAGACAGACAGTGTCCATTGGTTGTTTAAAGGCACTGAGCTTCCATGTGATCTGTAAAATAGTAACATAGAAACTAATATACTATCCAATAATCCTTGCCAGCAAACAATGGTCAAAGGATCAATTGTTTTCAGATTAATAGGGACTCTGAATTACTAAGTCACCCATTCATTAATTCGACAAGTAATCACTGATGTTTGAATGTATTAGGAACTATTCAGGGGTAAAGTAAATAAAAACATAAAAGTAAAAAATAAAACCGCATGCTTCTATGAAATTTTGCATACAGCTCAGAATCAAGTTAAAGAGTAAGATATATTTTGTTATATGTTAAGATGCTATGGATGAAATGTAGGCAAAGTAGTTGGCCAATGAAAGCCAGAGGAGTGCAGAAATAGCAATTTCAAAAGGACAAGGTCAGAGACATCTCATTGGAAATGCGGTGTGTAAGCAAAACCTTAAAGCTTGGAGAAAGGAGCCGTGCTGAATGTGGATGAAAGGAATTTCAAGGACAGATAGGAACGAACGGAAGCTACTTGGTGTGAGCACGAACCTGGCCACTGTGACATCTAGGGAGCCTGGGTAGTGAGTGTCCTGAGGACTTTGTTTTATATCCCAAAGTGGTTTTTTGAAAACATTTAAAAAGATTTATAAATGATCCTTCTGACTACTGCGGTGAAGAAAGATCGTGTATGTTCATTTCTGTGTTCCCGGAATGGCCACGGGCTGGAGGAACAGTGAAAAGCAAGGGCTTCGGGTGGATATGTGAGAACAACCCCAGCGACAGCAGGTGAGTCAGACCAGAAGGGAATATAAAGGTATGAGACATGGTCAGATTTGGACTTTTTCTCCGTAAGCTTTGTAGGATTGGCCAGTCCATTAAATTGAATTCTTAGGAACATATGTGTGCATTATCTCCTGGATGATACTTAGGGAAAAATCATTAAATCAGAATAATATATGTTTTATTAATCCTACTTTCACGTATTTGTTATTTACAATCCTCTGGTATATATACTTGCTGCTGTTGCCTTGCTTCTAGGTGCTATAATTATTATTTGGAATGAACATTTTAAGGTTTTAACTGTATTTTATTTCTTTAACAATGCCATATTTTAATAAGCAACACAATGGTTAGAAAACAAGTTTTGAAACAATTTGGAAATACAACAGATATGAGGGTTAATTCTCTCTCCATTCCTTTGGAGTGACTCTGCCCACAGGGGACAGGTTCCATTCTATTCCAATCTGTGTGCAAACAAACACCCATGAGGCAAAACAGAAAGCCACTCCACTGGCTAAAATGCTATTACCAAATTTATCATGAAAATCTGGTGAGTGCTTCTGGTGACTCTGCCTTGCCATTATTTCTTGAATTCTCCTAATCTTGAGACCACGGAGTACATTTCTGCTCAGGGAAAACATCATGAAGGCTGGATGGATTTCAGTTGCTTGCAGCTGCTGGTCTAGTTTGGTGCAAAGAGACCTATAAAAGAAAAGTGGGACACTAGTATCTGGTCCATATTAAGGGCATGTTGTATCATGGCATATATATTTGAATTAAACTTGCACCGTTATTAAACCCTTTTTGGTTAAACTGAACACTAGTGACTACAGACCAGATGACTTATGGAATGACATTGTGGACATCACTCAGGAAGAAAGAAAAAGGGCATTAAACAAGCAGCAAATAAACAAAAACCAAAATGGGTTTCAGAAGAGATTCTGAAACTTCCTCTTGGGTGTGAAATAACAAAATAAATAAATAAAGTGATGAAGTCCAAAGCTGGCTGGGAGATTTCAAAAGGCAGATCAAGAAACTAAAGTAGGTTCCAGTTCAAGGTGGCCGACAGATCACATGGAGAGTGAATCCAAGAACCATGAGAAAGACAATAAGACAAATAAAATGGGATGCAAGCAGCCATAGAGATAAACTATATAGGAGAATTCAGCAAATAATGCAAGACAGAGTCACCATATTTTATATATATTATCTCCAGAGCCACCTTGGGGTCCAGAGATTGTGAGTTCTTCAGAACGTAAGGAAAAAAAGGAGCATAGTAATAAACATACAGGTCCCCAATGAAAGATCCTTGAAATTCATTAATCAAATGCTCAATTGAAGAAAGCCCAATGGAATAAAGTAGACAATGCTGAAGGAAATGCTTCTCGCCACAGGCAACTGATCTTCAACAAAAGACCAAATACGATCAAATGAGGATAGGGACAACCTCTTCAACAAATGGAGTTGGAAAAACGGCATCTCCATATGCAGAAGGATGAAATGGGGTCTACACCCCTCCCCATGCACAAAAACACACTCAAAATGGACTAAAGACACAAATGTAAACCCTAGAGCTGTACGGGTCATCAAGGAGAAAACTGGAACAAACCTCAGGGTCCGACTGCAGGGCCTGACTGACTACCAAACATCACAACGCAAGACGAGGACAGAGAAAGGCAAAATCGATCAACGACACCAATGGAAACCAAGACACTTAAGCACATCAAAAGAATTCATAGACAACAGAACGAGAGCCCCTCGAACCAACCCACACATCAATTAAGACAAAACAGCAACTCCAGACTCTATGTGCTAATTTCATACACTCTGCCTCTTTGTGACATGAATATCCCAGTTGTCTTTGTTAAAAAAAAGTTATTGAAAGCTTTGCCCTATCTCCAAACCTCACTGTTAATGTAAATAATGTCCAGTCACATAAATTGTTAATCTGTGTAAATCAATAATATATGTGTTTTGATCTAAAAAACTGTCCTATACATGTATATTTTCTTTCTCTTGACAGTGTTTTAAAATTTCTATCACTGGCTAAATTAATGATAACATCAATAAAACTACCATATGTTCTATGGGGACAATTTATAATGTCCTTCAACAAAAATAATAATGATGTCTATAAGGTGAGCTAGGGCATATATAAGCCATAGATATATTAATGGATTTTGAGCTCCCATTTAATCATAGCCATAACCTAGAAACAATTAGTTCTTATGACATAGTCCTGCTGAATACCTAAATCCATGAAGATGCGGGGGCCACAGAAAAGTGTGGTGAAGTAAGTGATGTCAGAAAGAATAGCATCTGGGGTCTTAAAGGCTTGTCTTAAAACAAGCAGCTATCTAAGTGAGACACCGGCTAACCTCACACAGAAGAAACTCATCAAGCTGTATGCTCCAGGAATGGTAAATAATACAATCCAAACCTGGAGAAGTGAATGATATTAGAGCTTATATTCGGAACCACCAGTTTTCTAAGGCTATTGATGACAGAGAAAGCCCAAAATCCATTTGCAAGGACTTCTACATTCAGATGACGCCTCTGATAAATCCCCTCTGATTACCAGTAAGAGACGGGAAAGGCCTTATTATCAGACCGAGCACATTATAGGGTAGGTCACCGCAGGTGCAGTTACATCAAAATGTGACACCCTGTCATGATCCCCCTTTTAATCCAATGCAACATTTTAAATTACTTTCTGCTTTGGTTCTTACTGATTCATTCTGTCACTGTTGTTGAACTGTTTGTATTTTGTCCCATTAGAGAAATGTTTTCCCATATATAAAACCCAGATTAGGTCAACCTATAGAGACAGTAACTGGATCAATAGATCCAAGGGAAATGGCAGGGGATGCCGGTGGGAAATGGGCAGCTCCTATCAGTGAGTACACGGAAGAAGAAAATTCCTGGAGCTGATGGTTGTGATGGTTGCACAGCTTTTCTGAAAGTGATTTAAGCGTAGAAATGTATGGTATGTATATTTTATGTTAGTGAAGCTGTTAAAAATATTACAATGAACCAAAAGAGAAGAGCACACTGGAATTTTGCAAGCAACATTGAAATATTCTGGGAGAAAATACGGAATAACACACACACAAAAAAAAACCATGAAAAGAATAAACAAAATCATTGTATCAAAAATTGATTGATAAGCAATCATTTTAAGAGGTACCATATAATCAT